GGTTCGTGGCGCTGGGCGCCTCCGTCCCCCCGGCGGCCGCGAGGGATATTATGTTTGAGGATCATTTTAGACAACGGTACTGGCTAAAAATTAACCGGTAAAAGAAAGTGTGGGAGTCACACTAAGACGACCAGGACTATTTAAAAAGAAAGGACTTGCCTTCTTCTACTACTTTTAAGCAACTAGTCCAAAAGATTGTTCTTTTATCAAGTCCCTTTGTTGCTTTTTTTTTATTTTGCATATATAGAGATTTATTCTTTCAATAAGTCCTTCATGTAACAGGTCTCAACCATATTTCTGAAAACTGTATACCATCCACAGATACTCAAATAAATGGTCTGCTCGTTATTTCTTACTAACTTGTGTGTGTTAGTTACAAATATTCTACTATCATCAAAAGTGACAGTGTGAGCTTTTTACAGTATTTTAAGTGTTTAAGGAACCTATTACTATTGCATACAAGGTCAGATGACAACTCCAAAGCCTCCATGTAAATCAGGAAACTACGTCCTCCTGCTCTCACAATATGCCCTGCAGATAAATATAGATGTATATACATATATATATATATAAATACATATAAAGACTATCTTGTGAAGAAGGCTATAATTAAAGCTAGAGTAAGGTGATCAAAATGGTCGTCTTTGTCAGTGTGCTTGTGAATTCGTAAAACCAGAAAATCATAAATCACGTAAATGCCAAAAATATGCGGAACAAGACATGAAATAATATTAAACTATTGTGGTAGAGATTTCAAGGATACAGTGTTAGTGAAAATCCTGACTTGTTTATTACAAAGTTTTAAAATTGGAAATGGTTATGCACGATACAGTTCATTCTGTGCTTCTCAAATAAATTTAAGATGAATTTAATAATAGCTGATGTAGACCAGATTACTTTGTAATGTATGCAGTCTTCAAAACACTTAGGTACAGAGATACCTATAAAGGTATAATGGCTCATATAAACATTCTCAGTGAAACCAATGGGTTTTTCATTATAGTTGCTACTGTCTTATTCAATCACTTTCCGTTTGCACCAGATACCACTTATCTACCATTAGACACTTTCCAAAACTTTGAAAAGTTTCAGTCAAAGTTGGTCAAGCATTTTCAAGTATAAATCTTGTCCATATGTATTCTAGCGAATTTTCTCTTTGAGAAGAGTTAACAGCCCTCTGAAATGATAAGCAGAGTTTAAGAGTGTTGGGAAACTACCTTTTGTACTGGTATTATTTGCCCAAATCCAGAAAATTAAGCTGATTAGAGTTGGCTGGTACACAAAGCCAAAATAAAAAATCAAAGGTCATATAAAGATTTGCTGGAGAATTATAGTAGAGGTTTACTTGTGCTATGGCTTCTCAGCACATGACATGTTGCAGATAGTCGCTGGAGTCTGAGCAGAATTTGCTTGAAACAGAATTTGCTTCCATTGACAAGATGCAGTCCAGATATTAGAACTAAAACCAGTGTAAAGACCAGTGTGCTTGTCTCTCCTGTTTTTCAGTAACGTCATACGAACACAACCAAGACAGATGTTCTTTGCTTGAATAGCAAAGCCCGCACAGAGGAACTGAATGTGCCAACTATTTGTTTGGCTGTGAGCAATATGCCACCGGATGAAACACTTACGTGAGGGAGATGAAGAAAAGATACGTCAGTATCGGCACACATAAATTTTCAGTGCAAAGAGTATTGCTGAAGTGGGACTTTAAAACTAGGAAATGACACAATGAGATTGCCCTGATTCATAGTAAGGGCTACCATTTATCAAATGAGGTAGGATGTCTTTGTCTAAACAGCAGTAAGATCAGAAGTATGACAGTTGTGCAAGTGAAGGTTGCATAGGTTTCCTGTTCTGCTATTTCATACCTTTGATTCCTAGACTTATCTGTATTAAAATATATATTTAACATATGAAAGATCACATCCTATGTCTAAAGTAGGAGCGTTCTAACACTACCAGTCTTTTTAAGAGAACTCTACCATTTGCAGCATTTTTCTTCTAAACCAAGATTACTATTTCGGACGTCGCAAATGTATATAGCATACTCTTAACTTTCCGGTTGCCAGGAACACCTTTTGCTATCCTCTTGAAAGGGGAGAGGATGAATTGATGTGGATCAAATAGAATTTATTCTGCATATTAGAGCTATACATCCAAGAAATCTCTGAAAGTGACTGGAGATCTTTAATATCTACAAATATTCTCGTTTTGTGATGGCCATATAGGTTAACTGTAGGCAACTCATTTCAGTATTTAAGTTAGGAAGCTGCTCTTTTTAGATTGAGAGTAGAGTGAAAGGCTGTACCACATGATAATTAAGAACATCTAATGTTAATGCAGCCTCAGGAACACAAAAACAACAACAAAAAAAGACTACTCAGCGAGGCTGGTATTTTCCAGAGTGCATATTATTTTTATCTCTGCCACCAGTGGATGCTATGCTATTCTGTCCCAGGTCATGAGGCCCTGATGACATCAGACTGTTGAATATATGATGAGAGAACAGAATTAATAACTTCTAATACTTACAAATGCTGAAGCATGATTATTATTTCCTGATCCAGTCAATAGCATCTTCCACAGGAAAACTGGACACTGAGAAGGAGCTCAGGAAATCAGTCCAGGAAAAAAAGAGTTGTTGGTGGAGACAGTGTAACCACAGAAGCTAGATCTCCCTCTGGAAGGCCCCTGAAAATTAGTTTTCCTGCTCTCCCTGGCTACTACAATTTTGACTTATCTGCTTTCTTAGAATCACTCCTGTAATTGCTTTAGTTTTTTTGTAGAGGAAAAAAATGCCGGGTGCCAGAAGCATGTGTTTCTTTCTCTATCTCCTTACAGGGCAGAGGGTCACCTTTTTCGACATTACCATTTCCTCAGTTGTGGCATCTGTCTTCAGAGTGTTCCTAAGGAAATAGTGACCAAGAACACTAAGTCACCCTATTCTGAGATGTCTTCACATTGCTAGCCTGTGTTAGTATTTCTACTAACTATTTTTAGTTACAGTTCTAGGCCTATCAAAGTTATAAGAGTGATCTATACTGTTGGTAAGATAGATAAACATTTCACAAATTAAGTTATTACAAGGTTTTTGATATACATCATATGCTCTGTTTAGGTTTTGCCTCCACAGTTCATTACATGTGCAAAAGCGGGTAACAGGTATATTGCAGAGATTTATGACAGTTTTTAAACAGTGAATAAACAGTTTTTAAATTTGAATTAAATTCCGTTTGATTCTTTTAACTGAGATTCAGATTAGGCAATAAACACAAATATTTATATGATATTTAAAATGCTACCATCTAAAGATTTTGTAGATCCTACTTTCCATTGTTCCATGAAGGTCCTTTTACTTCCAATAAAAGAAGATATGGTGCCTCTCTTTCACACTTCAAAGATGGTCAAAAACTCAAGAAAGAGAAATAATTCTTAGTTAAGAAAAGTAGACTGAAAATGTATTATACATAAAAACAGGGTCAGATTTTCCCTTTCTGGAGGCAGAGGAGGAAAGGAAAAGGCAAGCCTTTAGTTGTGACATTCATAAAAGAATTGATAAGTTGCCTGCTCTATGAAATGCAGGTCTGTATTTTTCTACTGGGAGAAAGATGGCAGCATCCTTTGAGATATCTGGAGCTGGAAATGTGAAGCGCAACAGCATTTTTATGGTAAATGAATAAGAATAGCACATGTTAGAAATACATCTGTAAGCTACTATAAT